AGAAGGAAAAACGTATGTACCTTTGCCACGAGAGCTGTGAGATTGAGGGCCTTGCTCCACTACTGACCAAATGTGCAAAATGAGCATGAATCTTATGATAGAACATAGGTAGATACACTGCTAGTTGAAATGCCCTTTTCCCTGGCTGAGTGTGGGGTGGTAAAGCCCTCAGTAGCTTTTTTTTTTTTTTTTTTTGGGGGGGGGGGACAAATGCTCAAATCTATTCGTGGGGAGCAGCACGTGCTGGAAACGGGGTCCAGCGTCCCATAAGGACATTTACGCATTAACAAGGATTTTTTTTATAGAAAAGCTAAGAGGACCTCCCCCTGCCAGCATTGATTACCGTGGAACCCAGGCGATTAACTGAGCAAGGAACGTCCTTTGATGGTAATAAAAATGAAAAGGACCTTACTATGTCAGAAAATCTGCCTGATCCTAAAACCTACTGACTAGGAGAACAATCCTGCCTCCATCATCGCATCCACCACTGAAACACAATTGCAGACACAATGGGGTGCTTGAAAATTTATGTAAAGACATTTTTTTGGCCGTAATTAGGGCCTCGTTAGACCCTCCTTGGAAAATCCTCAGGAATTAGGATGAACTCCTTGGAAACTTTTTTCTGTTTTTGGCTGCGTCGTTACACCGCGTCCTAACCGAATGGGTCCCAAGGAAAACCCTTGGAGGTCTCCCGCGGCGAATTTCATACACATATATGCGGCCGTGGGGGTGGATGTCCGTCGTCGTGGTTGGATGTCCGTCCGTCCTTTGGCGTGGTCCGGTGGCAGCGGCAGGGAGGCCTTCCGGGCTGCGGAGAGAAAAACGGGCGTGAAAATCCCTTTTGAAATTTAAAATTCAAACCCTTGGCTGATACGCATCGACGCACCGTGGTGTGTAGACCGCTGGAGCGGACACCGGAGCGAAACGTCTGCGCGGAGGATTTGCGGTGGCCATCGCTGAATGCGCGGGTATTGGAACGTGTGCCGACGCAGTGCGGACGGTGACGATCTCGGAGTGTGTCCGCTATAACGGGTTCCACGTTCCTGTTCGGGGTGTCAATGACAATCCGGCGGGCCGCCATAGCAGAGGTCGCACGTCGACCCTCCGTCGAAGTTGTGTGAGACTGCTGCCTTCCCCGTCCACGCGGAGAGAGTGGAACGACGGTGCCGGGTTGCAGGCGAATCTTGTGCCGAGGGAGAAGTGGGTGATGGCGAGTTGGCAACGACGAAGATGGAGGGTCGGCGCGGGAGTCCGGGTTCAGTGCAGGCAGCACAGGCGGCGCTAGCAAGAGAAAAAACATGCGCCAACAAACTTTTGATGCCATCGCCGAAGTGATGGAGAAGCACGGTGCATTGATGGCGGACACTGTAGAGGGGGCAAGCAAGCGACAATGTAGCATCCTGGAGAGGCAGTGCGACATACTCGAGTGCGAGGTCGATGCCCAGAAGCGGCACTACGAGGCGTCCGACGAGGCGAACAGGATGATGTGCACTGCGTTGTTGGAGATCGCTAAAGCAATAAGGGAAAGGCCGTGACGTCGCCTGAAGTCCTACATCTATGTACATTCTTCTGCAGTCGGTCGTCATGTGAATGCATGTCCTAACGCTACATCCCTCGCTTGTTGGCGGCGACTCCCCACATGCACTCGTGACGGGCGTTGTTGAAGGCACAACGTGCGCGGTTCGGTAGTTTGTGCAGGTTGACGGGAGCGCCATGTGTTATTGCTGGCAGTACGTACTTTTCTTCACCACGTGTATATATATATATATAGGTAGTTCCCCGAGGTTGGAATTTCCCCGGCCTGGATGGGTGAAATCGACGCCGTCATTCTGGGAGCGCACCGTGGCAGGGAAAGGTCACCGCCAGCACTATAAAGGTTTGTGCATGTCTGCTGGTTTTCGTGTCCTGGGCTTTGTGGGCGTCCATTCCTTGCCATGCATCGGGGCTGTGTTCCAGTGCGCCGGGAGTTCATCATCCTCGCCATCGCCAAACACCACCGTTGTCTTCACTTGAGCGTCTCTCTCTTGTTTATCTGTCCGCGGTGTCGTCCGCGACACGCTGCAGACTCACAACGCCTTCATTTGCGAGACGTGGGAGAGCGATCGGTAGCGCATGGCGCCACGTGGATAGTACCAATTCAAAAGGCGAGAGGGCGGATCCGACGAAGGCACTGGCGGGCAAACCGGAAGGGGGCACGTCCAGAAGTCCAAAAAGTTGCGCAGGGTTGACGGATCAGAGGGCGAGATGGGGGGTGAGGGGGGACAGGACGTGTCGCCCATGGATATCCCTTCCACGGCCACGCCAATGCTCGGGTTCGGGAGAGACGGTGTCAGCAGGGAGCGGATGATTGCGCTGGCCAACCTTGGTCTTTCAGGGACTCCACGTGGCGGCGGGAGCGGAACCGTGCGTTCTCAATGGATTGTCATCAACAACATGACACCGCAAAGTCCTGTCAGTGCAACGTCAACGATCGTTTCCATTGTCGAACGCACGGATAAACGACAAGTCCCTTTGTCCCCCTTGCGCCACGTAGATCCGTCGAACACGTTCATGGTCGGGGGGTCGTCGAGGGTTGTCGCACCTTCCACACAAGCAGGAAGCCCCAGTGTCCATGCCACCGCCACTGCTGCGGGAGAAAGGCGAGAAGATCGGAGGGTCGAAAAGGCGGGGAGGAAAGAGGAGAGGAGGGATGAGATTCCCCGGGCAGACTGCGAGCACGACGTCTCTCTGAACTTGAGGAAGAAACGAACGCGTCAAGAGGAAAAGTTGAAGGCGAAATTCAAGCTTTGGGTAGACAGGAAGACGTTCTGAGGAAGCGAACCTGGTTGCATGATTGCGGACGCCGTGCATGGCTGCGCGGACTATTATTGTGCAATTGTGAACAGTGATGCAGGCGCCCCCGCTCTGCATGGTGTCATTATGCCAGGCCCCAATGTTCCCCGCGTGCGAATCGAAGATCCTGCACAGCGAGATCCAACTCTGCGACGGGCGAGACGGACGGAAAAAGTCGCTATGCGCGTCATCCACGGGTGGATATTCAGGTCATCTTCAAGGTCCGATGGTTTCGCCCGCGTCGAGTCGTATGTCGTCGTCGATTACCCCACCGATCTGGCGAAAGCAGTTGGCAAAGCGCAAAGTGGTCGAGGGCAGTGTCGGCTAGTGTTGTCTACCACACACTCGCTCTGAAGATGGACATTCCATTGTGGTATCCTGGGGCATATATCGAGGATAGGCCCGAGGACGACGACATGGCAGCCCATCAGGAGTCCATGGTGATGTGTTTGGCGTACTGCTTGCAAGATGCGATCCGAGCCGGGCAGTGGTCCAACGGCGGGAAAATGTCCCAGTCAAGACATAGCACAGTCGCAGACGCTTTCCACCTACTTCTCGCCTCGTGCATGTGGGTCATGCGCATGGGGGGCGACGATGCACGCTCCTATGAGGAGGCATCGTACTACCCACAGCTCGTGGTGAAGCCCACGATTGTGGCAGCTGGTTCGCAGTCCTTCAACTAGCGCAGGCATATTCTCTAGTCCGCGAATGCCGTATTGACTCGCCTCGGGAAGCCGCCCTTGACGATGGGTGTGTTTCCTAACTACATCCCGAACTGGGCTTGATGTGGAGTGCGCTTCAACTACCACACTGGTTTGGCGGACCCCGACATCGCGGCGAAGATGGACTGGATGGGGACGGGGCCCGTGGAGTGGAATGGTCCGCGGTCTTCGGCAGCACGCCCGTCGTTTTGGTTTGTGTATGGCGGGTGCGGGGGCAGGGGGGAAGGGGTGTCGACTTAGTATTGGCATGGGGGTCAAGTTGGCAGGCGAAGGTAGGGGTGGCT